TAAATAAGTTTGATTCGTCCTTTATAATTTCTCCCCGTAGAAAAGGACTTGAAAAGCTCACTTCTCGAGGTCAAGTCATGCTTGCTACTCTTTATTGCTTTTGGACTTAGTGGACATATTCATCACATTTGGACAAAAAGAAAGAAAACATAACAAATGGAAAGGTAAAGTGAAAAGGGGCTAATAAAATTGGAGTAAAAGAGGTAAAAAGATAATAAAATTTGATTAGGTTCAGTCGGACGCTATATTGAACCTATTGCGTCTTGAATCATCGTATACTATTTAAGTGATGTTTGATGATTCATGAAGCAAGTCTACCCCCTCCCTTGAGGTAACTCTATGATAGGAAGGATATATTGTTTGTCTTTTATTCCATTTTATTGAGCTCTTGTCCTATCGTTTCTAAGATCATCATGGAACAAATTTGTAATAATTGATGATTTAATAATCGAATCTACTCCTCCCTTGATCATCTTCATGATAGGGAAGGGTAGAGAGGATAAATATCTCTCGGAAATACTCTGTTTTTGCTCTGTTTCAGCTTTGTTGCAGCAGAGTATTTCCTAGAAACAATGGCTAGCTGGCCACCATTCTGTACGGCCGATCACTTCTTAGGGCCAGCCGGCCACCTATTTTGTATAGGCAGTGGCATGTTTGCAGCAAAACAAAGCAGAATCTGAGGCCAAAATAGAATAATTTTTTGACTGCAAGCAGAGCAGATTCTTGCAGCAAATAGAAAGGTTTTCAGAGAATGTTCTCGGTTGTGCGCATGCAATTCCTCGACTCCCGTTCAAAACCATTAGATTAGTAGTTTTAATATTAGTTTTGATTCCATTCCGACTTGTAATATTTAATTAGTTAGTTAATTCATTCAATTATGTTGTAATAATTAGTTTAATTAGGACATTCATTCGGACCCTCTTGTGTGATAGAAAACTTGTAATATTTTGTATGTCATTCAATTCCCGTTTCTTTTTTTCTTTTATTTACATGCTTACTGTGATAGCATCATATTTTTGTTTCATACCTTTGCTATGCGTTGTATTTATTTTTGCATGCATTGGGTTCGGTTCATCATTCTAATATCATTGTCATTGTCATTGTCATTTCTTACTTACTTGAATATGTGCATTACCGCATGCTTTGAGTTGATCCATAAGACATGATAAATAAGCCGAACCTAGTAGTTGCATCTTGTATGTGTTGCATTAGTCACTTTGCATATTAGAAGTATGCATTTTTTTTCTAACTATTTTCATTTTCTTTGGCTTGTCTCGGTTGACTACTAGGTGAGCATTTTTCCTTTAGCATATTACATATGTGTTTGTGTTGTCATATCAAGCATACTTCCATGAGTGTGACAACCCTCACCACTGTTCACTACAAGAAATTGCACTTTTGGCGACTATTTTTGGCGACGACGTCAATTTTTCATCGCCAAAAGTATATTTTTGGCAATACAGTGATCAATTTTGTTGGTAAAAGTATACCTTTACCGACGCAATTTGTTGCCGTCGCTAAAAAAGGCATAACATTATTTTAGCGCCAAATTTTTTGGTTGGCGCCAAAATTTCAAAACTTTTACCTACAAGGCTTATGTTTTAGCAACATAATGAGCGTTGCTATTAGTGTGCTTACTTTTGGCGACGACAAGTTGGCGTGGGCAAAGAGTTAAGCATTTAGCGACGATAATACTATTCGTCGGTAAAAGTTTTGGTAGTGAAATGAGGTGATTTAGTTATTTGTATTTTTATTATAATTTTTCAAAAAAATTTAAATATTCTAATTATTGAATTGTAAAATTAAAGTGATTATCGAATTAGATCACAAAATGAACCCATCAAACCCAAAAACACTCTTAAGTTTAGATGGCTAATTTGAGATAATCTAAACTTTTTCAAAGAATCTGGTTAAATTATCAATTTCAATATGTTTGGTTTTATTTTCAAAAACTTATTTTAGAATTTTTTTTCCCTAAAAACTAAAAAAAAAATTGGTGAAAAAATAAAAAAAATACTTATTATTTTTGTATGATTTTATTTTTTAGGAGGTCATAAATAATTTTTAAAATTTTGAAAATATAATTTTGATTTTTAGTGTTCAAATTAGTTTAATTTTTTTATTTATTTATAGCATTCATTCCAATTTTAATAGTCTTGACATTTTATTATTGTTATAATTGAGCCGAGGAAAACATTAAAACCAAAATCCCTAAAATTTTGGCGCCAACACTCCTCTGATCATGGACGGGTTCCCTCTTTATTCCCCACTGGTTTGGGTTCCCTTATTCTTCTATCAGTTCTTAGGGTTTTTGAAGCAAATCAATTTCAAAGAAAACTGAAGGTAGTACTCTCTCTGTCTCTCTCTTTGTGGATCGATTGATTTATTATATAAATATATATTGATTATAGTTGCTGTTTATTTTGATATGAAGGATCAAAAACTATTTATTGATCTCACCTCTTTGTTTTTTGTGATCAAATTATAATAAAGAGCATTGCGACAACACAAGCAAACCCCAAAAAAAAACCCTATATTTCTCGATACAAATTCCAGGGACTTCGAACCTTTCGAAGATCATCGCTTAGCACCGCCACTGTTAAGGTACAAACTGATCAACAAAATCGATTGGTTTCCTCGAATTGATTGATTTTTTGGATCTTTTTCTCTGCATATATGCTTCATATGATTTCTATTTTGTTTTTTTTGTTTTTTTTTTCCTTTTTAAGTATTTTTTCCTTTAATTTTTTGCTTTTAGGAATGATTGTTTTGATCATTGTCGCTGTTTATCTACATATTCAATATCTGCCAATGATTATGGTTGTGCTATTTGATTTTAGCTGTGAAATTAAAAAATTATAATTTATTGGAAGGCCATTAGATTTTGTATTTTGATTTTTTTACTTCTATATTTATTTATTTTTTAATTTTTGTAATTATGTAAGATATATTAACCTATATTTTTTAATTATGCATCAATTAGAAGTTTAATGACTCGAAAAAGAAATTGAAAATTGAAAATAATTTATGATTGAGAAAATATGAAATAATAATTTTTTATACATATGAATAAATAAGTAATGTAAATTGTGGGAAAAAAATAAATCCATTTATTTCAACTTTAAAAAAAAAATCAAATAATAAATACATTACTTAAAATAATAAATTTTATGCTGTTTATATAGTGCAGAATAAGTCTTATATTAAATTATTAGAATTTTTAGAGAAATTGTTTATTTTTGACTATTGTATCAATAAAAATTAATTTTACGTTATTTACAATTTATTACTGCTTCTCTGTTAGATTTGTGATTTTAATTTGTTTAGTTAAGCAATATTGGTAATTGGTAAGTTGGATCAACAAATATGCCTTATTCTCCTTTGTCTGCTAAATGCTTGATGAATTGCTTCACAGGAGAGGTCCTCTCTTTTATCATTTCTTTATTTGCTGTTTAGATATTTTCAACAGATAAGAGAGAAAGAGAGTAAGATAGATCTGAGGCCTTTTTTTTTTTACTTTTTAAATTTTTATAAAAGAAAAAACAAAAGATTTGAGCTCATATATGTGTTCAAGACTCAGATTCGAACAAATTCCTCCTCTTTTTTTATTCTTTTTTTTAGTTGTTGTTGTTGAAACAGATTGCAGCAGACTAAAAAAAATGACAGATAAAATTCAGAGAACAATTATTACTGTTATGGTTTACCAACAAAAAAATTATTGAAAGGTGTTAAACAGCATTATAGAAGACTTTTTTTAACCAATGTGTTTATGAAAAATATATAGGTGATAAATTTATTTTATTCCCTTCTTGTAATTAAAAACAGCAGATATGGTTTTTTATATTTGATTTGTTTGGAATTGTAGAGTATAGTCTATTAAATATTTTTTTATAATTGCATTTTAATCTTAAATTTAAATAGTGTTGCGATTATAATTATATTATAATCCTAACATTATTTATACCGTGCCTTCAGGCACGAGCATACGCTATATATATGAGCTCACATGCTCAAAACCATTGCTTAGTATTGTTTTTGGTGGTGCTCTTCATTATAATATTAACTGTGGTTTGTTGCTATATATATATATATATATATACTAGCGTATATTCGTGCCTAAAGGCACGGTGTAAATAATGTTAGGATTAGAATATAATTGTAATATGCCCTTGAAAATTAGCATTATAAGATGTTATGTATGCACACTTGTGCATACTTAAATAGTCTTTGAGCATGTGAGCTCATATTATATAATTGTAATATGCCCTTGAAAATTAGCATTATAAGATGTTATGTCTGCACACTTGTGCATACTTAAATATGGCATGGTTATATAGCATATGTGGCATTCTATGAAAAAGAGTAATATATATATAGCATTTTTTGTTTTGAAAATTGGTTAAATTAGTTTTTACGACTAGCTAAAATAAAGAGTATGGTTGGAACACACAATAGCTGAACTAATTAGGTAAAATAAAGAGTGTCATTTTTTTGTACTTTAACTAGTAAAAAATAAAGAGTGTGGTTGAAGATGCTCTAAGAGTGTAAATCTTATGATCAAATTGCATGACAGGAAGTAAATAGGTTCATTAGTTGAAAATTTAGATGCAGTGGCTGGATGTAATTTGTGCTAGGGCTTTTTAGGAAAGCTGAAAACCCCTTTTAGATAAACATAGAAGTTTCATGAAAGAGGGGGTATTGATTGGTGTAGTGATAAATGCTTGAGTTCCCATGTATGAAAATATGGGTTGGAATAATAGGTCATGGGAAGCTAAGATTGAATTTGTTTTAGATGGTTAGGCTGACAATATTTTAATCATCAGGAAAAAAGTATAGGGTGTCAATGTGTCTTATTTTATCTTGCATTTTTTATATTCATTTGCAGTAACTTGTTTTCAAATTCATTTTTTGTTCCCAAAAGAAAGAAAAAATGGCTTTGTCTTTAATTCGGCTGGCTGCTGCTGCCGCTGCCGTGGTGGTTGATGCTTGTTGTGGCTGCTGCTGCGGCTTCAATGTTGCTGTGAGGCGTGCATACTGTCAATCCATCTGATGAAGAACTTGCTGAATCAGCAGTTGTGATATGTGAAACTTCTGCAACATGTGGTGTGCTGTGTATACAACTAAGGAAGTGAATGGTTTGCGAAATATGGGTGAAGTTGCACCTGTCGGGCATGCATGTTGAAGGGAAGGTAACAACTAGTATATTCTTATTTTTAGACTAGACTGTGTATGCATGGTATATTTTTCATTTGTATTATATGTTCATAGCCTTTAATGAATTTGAATATTATATGAACGTTGAAAACTCGTGGTTAAGATATCTGTTAGACTTGTGATTAACAAATTAGAAAACTTGTTGAATCTTTTGATTGTTTGGTTTTGAAATTCGACTTTCAGGAGCAGAGTGTTTGAACCTTGTTTTGTGTTTTGCTAGAAATGTCCTGTTTAGGTTTTTGCCTCATTTGAATTGTTTTCAACACTCCTTTCGGGTTAGATTTTATTTGAATTTATCAGTATTGTGAAGATTTTTATGTGTTTCAGTTGAATTTCAAGTCTCACTTGATGTCATACAGTGTTTGGTATGTTCCTCCCCCCCCCCACCCACCCCAAACCACCACCATATTGTTTTGTTTAAGTGTTCTGATACCTTGTAATTTCTCTGCTTCATATGTACTGCAGACATGAGGAGAGATGTGCAAGAGATATTCAAGATGACTCCTCATTAAATTCAAGTTATGATGTTTTCTGCAACACTCAGCAAGGAAATTCATCCTGTTTGCAAGAAATTTATGCAAGATGTAATGTTCCATGACCAGTTCTACTTGAATTTAGAAGAGTCCTTTTCCATAAATGTCAGCTTTCTGCTGGCGATAAATAGTTAGGAATACAGTGGTTGCAGGCTTGCAGCCTTCTATGCTTTCGGTTTTGTATTTTGTTTATGCCCATTATTCAATATTCAGTTTGATAATCAGTTGCTCTTGTCATGCTAAGAGGGATGGATATGCAGCAGCTTATCACTGGAAAAATTTGTGATTCCAATGTATGAATTTTTAGTTTGAGTGGACATGGTCGTCCCTAGGTCTCTATGAAACACGGCATGAGTTAAGATTACCAAAGACACAGTTCTTGGTTGAGCTCGTAATCTCTTGGCTTTGAAGCTTCAATCTTAGAGGTGTCTTCTAAACCTTATTATTTAGGATTTGAGGGGCTGCAAAAATCCTCATTCAATAAAACAATTCACTTTGATTATTGTGCTTTTAGATACTAAGTAACACGAACACGAATATGTCACAAGACATGATAATTTTTAAAAAAGCAGGACATGATAGATGGAGGGCACACACAAAATATATAGTAAATATATATATATATATAGATAATAATAAAAACAAATTTTTTTATTTTTTTATTTATAAAGATGAATGATTAATAGATATAAATTTATATTATTTTTCTTTTATCATTGAATGGAAAGTTATTTTGTTTATACTTGTAGTATGTTTCATGTGTGTATAAGTGATGGATATGTGTGATTGTCCAAAGAGTGTCTGGAACTAAATTTTTTTCCAAAAATAATAGGACCCATTTGCATGTGTTCAATGTGTTGAAAAGTATCCAATGAGTGTACCTTTGTGTTGAACGAAAAATAACATCTCATTACCAAATCCTCAATTTTTCGGTTGCTTTTATTTCTTCATGGCATACCTTTGTATACATGATGCACCGATGCCTTCTATTTTTCTGGGATAGTAATGTAAACTAAATGTTCTTGAAGGAAAAATAACATGATTTCTTACATTTGAATATAATTCCTATAGATCAATGTGTTTGCTTAACTGTATATTCATCATTAAGAAAATTTGATATTTGAAGAAACATTTTATTTAAATTGGTGCATTGAAGTGATTAAAATTGGTGCATTGAAGTGATTAGACTCTGTCCCCTAAATAGTGCTTTCGTTTTGATGGACATTAGATCTTGGGAAACATGAAGAAAGATCCAGCGCCGTTGATGTTGTCTACTATTACAAAGAAACTGCACGAGCTCGACTATGTGCTTAAGGTGATTCTCTCTAAATCATTTGTACTTGTTTGTGCTAGTTACAGATAAATATGTTGTTTATATTCTTCATTGCTAGTGATAGCAAATATTGTTTTGTTTTTATAGGTAAATATAATGTGATTAACAAAGAGTCTTTTGGATTATCACACTTTTTACATATGTTTACAAGGTCTTTTTTTCTTGTCCTTTTGTGGGTCCTTCAAATTTCTGGGGAAAAGTGAAGCAGTCATTCTGATTCTATTATCTTTTCCACAGATGAGGGTTTCTTTTTGTATCCTATAACATTTAAATGTTATTCAAATCAACCAGGTTCGGTAGGTTGCTATGATTTGTATATGGAACCCTTTTGAAGATAAGTTCTTTGCTAAAGCTAATTAGTCTTTATGAAAAACCTGCTGAGTTATGCAGATCATACCTCTGGAATTTTGATTGTTGTACACTTATACATCCTTATAATGTTTCTTTGACAGATTTATGCATTAGAGGATGGTAAAGCACGTTCTATGTGGGAGGAAATAGGAGGTCAAATCTCAATCCTAAGTCCTGACAGATATGGCCATATTGATTGGTCAATGTATGTGTGCTATTTGATATAGTGTGGTTGCTTTGTACTTTGTGTAGTATTTTTTGTTTTATTGCCAACTCTTTTGGTGACATCTGTTACTTTGTTTATTTTAGTTGGTACAAATGGTTCATGTTTTATCTTTTTTGCAGCTTTGAAGGTATTATTGTAAACTCACTTGAAGCAAAAGATGCTATTTCAAGGTAGGCCTTTCATTGACTTATTTCTCATAGACACTATTTTAGTTGGTCTTGTTTATTACTTTTTTAAATGTTTGGCCACACGTAAAAGTTTCATATCTTTTTCTTTTCTCTTTCATTATATATATATATATATATATATATTTGATAAACAGAGCTAAATATGAGAATGAGCATCAAAAGGGGATCTCAAAATAGCTTATACCTCATTCTTTACTTAATAGACTATATGAAATCTAAAATATAATGGTGTCATCTGCTTATAATAAATGAGATAATATTTTAGGCGAACCACTCATTCGCCCCACAAGGAAATTGTCAAGAAAACCACCTTGAATTGTTCTTATCAAGAATTATAGATGGATAATGAGAGAGACCAGACCCTTTTCTTTTTTCTTTGTTTCCCTCCTTACTGTTCAAAGAAGAAGTCGTTCTGTTAAGTGTATACAGACTTTCTATGAGAAGTAATATAGAAATAGTGGTTGTCTAATGAGATACTATGTATAATAAGCTCTTGCCTTGGGAAAGTCTCATATTGTGCCTCTATAACCAAAGTGAACAAAAAAGATGACAATTGATCTCCTTGACACAAGACGTCTAGAAAAAACCTGCGGTAGATCCATTAACCAACAATAAAACTCGCACTGGCATATAATTATGTTACCTTTCTCCAAAACCCATCTTCTTCATCACATATAACAAAAATTCTTAGTTTACATGATAATACGCTTTTTCAATATCCACTTTGCAAACCACCCTTGGGTTACCACAACCTCAAATCCACACTCTCATTAGCTACAAAAGCAACATTCAAAATCTGTCTACTCCTCTGACACTACCTTTAGAAGTACCTTCTTCAATGGTCTAGCTAAAACTTCAGGTAGGATCTTATATTCCTTCCAATAAGGAGATGGGCCTAACATCCTTTGTATACTCTACCCTCCTTTCTTAGGAATCAATGACACAAAAACATTGAAACTTTTCTAAGAAACACCATGCTCGAAAAATAAGGATATCATGCCCACCACAACTATGTAGCCTTATTTAACGCCTTCCTAACACTATTGGAAAAAGGCAATAGTCATACTCATACACCAACCTACCCATGACCTTATCTCCTTTTTTAGACTTCAATGCCACAACCACTTCCTCTTATGAAAATGTCTTTCTAACCAATCCTTATCAATGGTCGCGATGCCACCAAAGTCCAACCCATCCTCCTGGATCTGAGTAAAGCTCCTCATAGGAATCCTCTGTACTAGTTCTAATCTTCTCAACCGTCCACACCCTAGCCCCAATACGAATTTTACCTATGTATGAGCATTAGCCATTCTCTAAGAAAAATGGGTATTTCCAACACCCTCTTTAAGCCATAAAGCCTTAGCCTTCTGGTTTTATCTCATTTTCTCCATCTTTGCAATGCTACAAAATTCTTCCTTCAAGTACTCTCTATGCCCCTTTGCGATAATGAGATTACGAACACTCTCAATCTTATTGAAGGCCTTTGTGTCCTTCAGAACTGTTGGCTTTTGAATCCTAATTCCATTTCTTCAATTTTTCATTCAAAAGCTTTAATTTCATGTCTGAAATCAAACTAGGTCTTTCTTCAACATGATAGCAGCTCCTCACTCACCAACCATTTGGGTAAATTACACTTACACCCCCTTGAGGATATTTATTTTTTAAGTCCTCCATCCCAAAATCCTAGGCACTATTATGTTACACTTTCAGCATAATCTGAATATATTTTATTTGGCGGGATTTTACCCCTTGAAAGATGAGCCTTTTGAATGTCTTGAGATGCAACACCTAAAATTTTTTATAGTAAGTTTTGGGGTTATAATTTTTTGAAGCTATTTCTCTTGTTCCTAGATTATGACCTAAGGGTTATGAACTTACGATCTTCTATGTGTGAAGGAAGTTTATTTTTTTGAGAGTGATTGCTCAAAACTGTTTCTTACTATTGTTCAAATATAATTATGTGTCAATCACTTGAGAATCCCAGGACTTTAAAGCTTATACTAAGGAACCATGAACTAAAGCATCAATTGATGTGATGCTCCGTAATAGGAACAATGAATGAAAATGTGAATTTAACTATTTCAATTTTGAGTGTTTGTTTGTGGCTATGCCTCCAATAGAGTATTTTCTTAAATGTTTTCCTGTCCTTTAATAAGAAAATGCCTCTCAGGAGATTTTAGTAGTGAAAAAGCAAGCTTTCTTAACTTCCCTTTTTCCAGAATTCTTTCACGATATCCCAATAACCAAAAGGAATTAAGTGATTCTACAGCCAAGCTTTAAACTTGCCTTTATTTCAAGGTTCCTTCAACATGCATACTTAATTGAACATTGCTACATAGGCATACACTTGTAACTAAAGTTTTCTGTCTGTCTTTTCACAGTTGTGATAATATTGATAAAGTAGGGTTTCTTTAAACATGTTGCTGGACATGTGCATGTATTGAAAAGGCATATGTAATGTTTTTACGCTGCTAATACAGGTATGTTAGACGAATTGTTTTTGAAGGAGGACTCATTGTAGATCCAGATCAGGTAGCAGTCTGCTTTAGTCTCTCATTTTCTGCAGTTGATAGCAATTGTTTATTTTGTTATCTTGAATAATGATCTTTTTATCTCAGGGGGAGTTTCTCTGCCCTGTATGTCGTGGACTTGCAAATTCAGCATTTCCTGCATTACCTGGAGATTCTCAAAAGGTTTCTAGACCACCAATGGTTTCAACTGTCAGTTGGCCAGATGCTACAGGCCAATTATCCTCTGCAAACAGGGAAACTAATTTCCATCGCTTTCAGGAAGCCTTGTCTCTTTTACATAGTGCTGCTGATGTTGCTGGGAGGAGTGAAATCCTAAAAGCTTTTCCAATGCATCGAAATGGAAGGATAAGACCAAATCCTGAATCCATGTTTCGTGTACTATTTGGAATGTATTTTCCAAGCAAACAGGATAGGATTTCAGGATCTGCAAGGGTAAGCCACTCGGTAATTATGTGGGACACTCTTAAGTACTCTCTTATTTCAGGATTTGCTGATGGTCTGCTGGTCTGCTGCTGCTGCTGCCGGTGTGCTGCTGCAGAATTTTGCTGGGCTGCTACTGCTGCAATGTTGCTGTAAAGCCGGCTGCTACTAGATGCTGGTCTGCTGCAAATTTGGGTTGTTGTTAGTTTCATGATTTCATTTTTTTATCTGCTATTTTTACTATGGGTTCAATTTTTGGATGTATTTGAGTATTTTAGTGAGTTTACCTTTTTAGGTTTTATACAACGCTTCCAAAAACATATTTTTCAGCAGTGTTTTTTTGCATACACATCAACTTTAGGTGATTTAATACCAATGTTATTAGTTTGTAATAGTAGTGCCTGAGGGATGCCTCTTGTAAATATGTAAATCTTATAAAAAAATATATATGATTTTCAATTTTTTTTGCCGCTACAAATTTGTCGTTGCCAAAAAGTAAAGCTTTCTCGACAAACAACTTGTCGGTAAATGTGTAGCCAAAAGTTTATTTTTGCCCACTCATATTGTGTTGCTAAAAGTGTATTTTTTGACAATACCAATTTGTTGTTGCCAAAACTAAAGCTTTGTCGACAACCAAATCGTTGGCAAATGGCAACATTTACCGACGTAAATGTGTCGCTAAAAGTTACTTTTGCCCACTCATATTGTGTTGGTAAAAGTGTATTTTTTGCCAATGCTAATTTTTCGTTGCCAAAAGTAAAGCTTTAGCGACAAACAAATCGTCGGCAAATGGCAACATTTACCGATGTAAATGTGTCGCCAAAAGTTTACTTTTGCTGACGCATATGTTGTTGGTAAAAGTATATTTTTTGCCCATGCAAATTTGTGTCGCTAAAAGTGCCACACAATCATCATATTTGAATGACTTTTACCAACGCAAGGTAAATTGCCGACGATGGATGAAGGCTTTTAGCGACAACTATGTTCGTCGCTAAAGGCATTACTTTTACCAACGCAATGATAATTTCGTCGGCAAAAACTTTTGCCAACTCACTTTTGCCTACGGGTTGCCAACGTAGCTTTGTGTGTCGGCAAAACTCTTTGCCAACGAATTTTTCCTTTTAGCAACATATTTTGTTGCGTTGCGAAAAATGCAATTTCTTGTAGTGGTTTATTGATAATACTACTGATTACTGCTAAATTGTGACTGAACATGATTAAGTAACTGATTTGACTGACATTCTGAACTAATTGATTGAGTGTATTAGTTTAAACGCATTTTTATCTGTTTGATCTGTTCATATTTTAAGTTTGAACTGTAAATTGAAGGCCTTATCGGCGGCCGAATCTAAAATTGATTGGTATTGTGTGTTAATTAGAATTTATGTGATTTTACGGTAGATTTAGTTGAAATTTGATTTGGTATGATTAAATTGGATTAGATAAGCTAAATCTCATTAGTTTAAGTATTTACCAAAATGCCACTTAGTGGACTTTTTCATGAGCCATTTATTTGATTTATATATGTTAGCATTATCACAACTCTTCAGCCATTTTCCTCAAGACCAAAACTGATTGAGAGAGGGAGAGTAGGAGGAAAGACTTGAGTTCATCAATCTTGGCTTGAAATTTAGAGGAATTAAAGGATAATAACAAATTGATTTTCCATTCTTGAAATTGAGGACCTAAGGTAGGAGAATCATCTTCTTGAACTTGAATTTAAGTTGTATCTTGCATGTTTCATGGAAGTTTGGTGATTAGAGTTTAGAATTGGTTCAAAATGTTGAATTGAAGCTTAAATCATGCATGCATGTACACATTGTTGAGTTTTGAGGTTGATTTCACGGAAATCCTCACATGCATGTCTTTATTCTAGCCATGGTCCATGAATTCATCATGTTTTTGAGTGAATTGACTCATTTGATTATGTATTGGAAGCTTTGATTTCAATTGAACACTTGCATGTTACATATACATTATGTTCATGAAGTTTTGTTTGGATTTGTGTTTAATTGAACTACTTTTGGGCTTTGATTTTACAAATTGATCTTTGAAACATGTCATATTATGGGTTTTAAAGTGTTTTCTAGAAAATTATCCCAAAAGGATCGAATTTGAAGCTTTAAAGATTGCGTTTTGTGCTTGGAGACAAATCTGGAAATTCCAAATTTTGGATCCACGTTCCAGCGTATACTCTGAGTTCATGCAGTCCACTCGAGCGGGGAAAGTAACGCTCGAGCGTGAAATGCGTGTATCCAGTACTTGCATGTGTTTACAGTCCGCTCGAGCGAGGGAATGCACGCTCGAGCGAGGACTTGTGTCTCACGCTCGAGCGAAGGTCGAGCGCCCATCGAGCGTGAATTGCATGCATCCAGTACTTTTGCCTGAGTTTGCAGTCCGTTTAAGCAGGGAAAGTCACGCTCGAGCGGAGATCTTTTGTCTGCATGTTCGCTCAAGCGGAGAAAGCCACGCTCGAGCGAGACCCTTGTTTTCTGAAAATTCTGAAAAGTGTTTTAAAGTGCATCTTTGCATCCTCATTTCATCCTAGGCATCCCTAGGCCATGTTTAAGGCATCTTAATGAGGATATTGATGTAGAACCACACCGAGTCAAGTTAGGGACTAAGTCATTGATTCCCAAGCATGTAACTTAGTGTGTGTTCATTCTGTAACTGTGTAGGGTTGGCATCCGAGGACGCTCATTAGCCACTTATAGCCCAGTGCTCTGTGAGTAACAATGCTGTAAAGATATGTTCAATCATGAATATTTTCTGAATGATCTACTGTACCGATTTCTGAAATGATATTTCTTACTGAATAAATGATGTCCTATTGATGAACTGTACTCGTGGTAGCCATAGCAACTTACTGTTACTGTACTGTTACTGTCACAGAGATCTCTATCGGTTTCTATGTTTGGAACCACTACTGTTTACTGATATGATGGCCATCAATTGACTGGTCGGTCTGTTAAGACCTACTGTACTGTTTGCTATTGGATGTACCACTTATGACTGCTATGATCAAATAACTGATATACTGTTCAAATGACTGTTTAATGACTGAAAGGACATTCATTCTTAACCTCTTTACACAACTGTTATTCACTAGGCTTTAGCTCACTGTTTATATATATATGTAGGTGTCCAGGCACCGGATCGGAGCTAGGAGCATTGGGTTAAACTTCCTTTTTGTCAAGCCAACCAACGTGTCTCACTGCGAGGTTCCAAGTGTGTTCAAGCTTAGGCTTTTTGGGGTGTCTCAGTTCACCCTTCTGTCTCTGTTTGTAATACTGTATAGACTTGTACTGTATTGTTATGGTAGGGATTTGGTCCCTAACCTGAATGCCTGTATATGATGTATGTACATACTGCTTTTGTTCTGAATGTGAATGTGTTATGAAAAGTCTTTTTGCATACAGACTGTCATAGCTCATTGGACATCTTTTATTACTGTTTTGGCTTCCGCCAGCCCTTGTACTCTGTATTACTGTCTTTAGTGTTAAGCAGGCCTTCGGTAATCATGGATTACCGGCCGATTACGGTGTTAAACCCATAGGGGCGGGTTTGGGTCGTGACAATGAGGCTACATGCTTATTTGAAATATCTCCTTGAATGTTTGTGGATGAAGGCTATTTCGCTTAATTTGGAACGACTTTGGTAAATGTACATACGAGCTTGCTTTTTTTAAGTTACACGTATTCAAAACTTTTTTTAAGTAGCATGAATTCACATGAACATACAAAAATAATATATAAGAAATAGATTAAATCTCAAAGTCTAAAGAATAAAAAATAAGGGATACAAACTGAAACTTGTGGTACGCACAGTTTTCTTAAAACAGATTTGCCGCCTCGCCAATGGGTATTGGAGGAACGCCGACATCTATTTCTCAAAATATGATGGTCGAAAACAACTAATGCAGAAGCACATTTTGAATAGTTTCGGCAAACTTGACAATGGCAACACTCTCTTATTAATAAAAATCAAAGAAGGAGTTAACAAGAAGGAGATAGGAAAATTTTCTTTGAATTTTCTTTGTAATAAGAAACATTTCCAACTTCATCTAAAAAATCACCATTTTCCGTCTCGAAAAATCTCTCTACAAACATCCTACAAAGTTGGAGGGGAAATATCTTTATTTATATAAGTAGCGGAGTCCCTAGCTATGAAAGCTATCATTATGAGGGCCATCAAATTCCACTAATTAAGGCTATTAACTCTAACCATTAGGGTTAGAGTTACAAAGATTGAAAACCTCCTTTGTATTATATATAAAAATAAATATATATAATGCTATTTGAATAAACCAACTAGATGGGTTGCGAAATAGATACGGATGTTGAGTCACAGTCCGATTCAAACCAATCTCAAACACATGCACAAGCTAAATCCAACATAGCATAACTCAACCCAAGATCACAATCAAGACTAAGTCCAAATCCAAGTCCAAAATCAAACCAGCACATAACACAAGCACAAGCCTAAGCCTAGTGTCACGCCCCGAGAATTTCTGTGACATGAGGAGCAGCATTTGAAGTGGCCAAATATGCTGGAAGGTTCCGGAAGGAGCAAGAGCGGGCTAAAGTATGCTGGAAGGCTCTAGAACGTGGTGGAGGGGTCTAGAGTGGCCTGGAAGATTCCAGAAAATGGAAAAACCTTGGAGTGTCCAGAGAAGTCTGGATGGGTCTAGAACATCCTAGAATATCTTGGAGAAGCCTACCATGTACTACACTAGTGTAGAGAATTCTAGAATGTAGTAGGAAGGGTAGCTGTCCTAGATAGTTCTATGGAGAGTTCTAGATGAGAGTTTGTAGCCCTTGGATCAAAAGGATCCTAGCCGTCCATTAGGGAGGAGGATGGCTATATAAGGGTGAGGGGTCTCATTTGTTAGGCATCGAATGCTGGATATCCAAGAGAGCTCTAAGAGTGAAACACTTGTGAGTGTAAGTGTGAGTGTGAGAGCCTTGTAAAGCTTTGTACACGACTATACTTGTAAATTTAACTTGTATAGTGAAGGCATTTCTTCCACCTAAACTTTGTGTTCAATTTAGTGTGGTTGAGTGGGTGAGGCTGACTTAGGTGCAACCAAGAGGGTTGATAGGCATCTAAGGCCGCACGGTTAGCTTAGAAAATCTAAGGCCGTGACAGTTGGTATC